ATATATATATATATATATATATATATATATGGGTTTCATTGCAGACGTGTAATCCGAATACTTTAATTTCTACTAATTTAATATGTTTTGTGTGTGAACCAGTATCTTTGGGAGCTAGTTGTCACCAAAAATAAAAAATAAAAAAAGAGGAGAATTAATAATTTTGAGTTAATTAAGTTATTTTTGGATTTTTAAAGATTAAAAGATGATTTGAGATTAAGAATTTGAAAAAGGAAAGTTAGCATAATTTGGATAAATTTTGTGTTTGAAGTAATTATAATTGGATATTGTATGAGTGTTTATAATAAATACTTTGAGTTAAAGTGATATATAAGTTTTATAGTATTAATATGGTGTGATTTTTGTTTAAATATGTAAAGGATGATCCAATACATATGTTATTAATAAATATTAAAGTTGGAGTTTGTTCTCTCAAACGTTTTTATCAAAACTAGAGCTTGGGATGAGTGATAAAGTGAGTAACACTTCCTTAACATGTGTTACGTAAATGATGATCATGTCCCACGTGGAGTAAACTGATTGGACCGTGTTACTATTTGTTTTGAACTTTTCTTTTTATGTAAATTTCTGTTATAATATAATTCTCATTAAATTATTATGCATTGAAAACTATAAAATGTAAATTTTGTGATCAATGGTTGCTTAAACACAAATAAACAAATAAGAAGGTTATCCCTCCAATTTTTTATTTTTTTGCTGTCTGCTAGTGTTTGTGTTTTGAACCATGACGCTCTTATCCTCTCACCTCCTACTATTCTCGGCCGTGCACCGACGAACACCGCCGCCGTGCACCACCGTCTTTCGTTGGAACAAGCCAACAATAGACGGCACTGTCCGGTTTCTGCGTTCTCCTGTCATGCCAGCTGTCGTTTTGGATCAAAGGGTGGCGCGGTTTGTTGTCCCCGCCGCAGCAGAAGATCTGCTCTACAATGCCGGGGCCACCGTTGGTGTTCTCGGCGGCGCTTACGCCCTCGTACGTGCCTTTGATGAACTCACGCGGAGGAACATCCTCCATCAGGTACAACTTCAATCTTTGTTCAGTCACTGCTTGCATGCAGATACACAATTTCCAAAACATTTGACGAATTATTGATAAATATTCGTAGAAAAATATTAGAAAATAAAATGAATTAAATTCGTTTTACAGTTAAAAGAGAGTTTATATAAAAGCTATGCTTTACGAGAAATTTTAATTTTTGAGAAAATCTTAATTCATTTCACTTTTCCTTGTGTTCTTTCATCCATAAGAAGAAATTTTAAGTTGCAAATTGTTATGATGCTGATTCCAATGCAAATTTAAGCTACAAGTAACAAATAGTGCATCTTTTAGGAAACCTACGCTGAAGGCTTGAAAAGGGTACCACAAAAATAGGTTTATTTGTTGCCTTCAATTTGGGTTCTGGGTCTCGTTTTCTGATTTGTGTGTTTGGTTTGGTGGAAGTTTGGGTGCTTACTTGACTATGATGTGAACCTTTGGTTCTGTGGAAATTGGTTGGACAGGGTCTGAGCAGAAAGCTGGTCCACATATTGTCTGGCTTGCTTTTTCTGGTTTCTTGGCCTATTTTCAGGTATCTCGTTTCTGTGCTTGATCGTGGTTTTTTATCTTTCATACGAGGAAGATGTGAGCTGTATGTAATGCTGCTTTGTTTGAATGTTTTGATTTTAATGCTAGGATAGCAACTCCCCTAAGGCTCGCTACTTTGCCGCTTTTGTACCTCTAGTCAATTGCTTGAGGCTTTTGGTGAATGGTCTGTCATTGGCTTCTGATGAGGGACTCATCAAATCATTGACCAGAGAAGGAGATCCACAGTAAATTTCTTTTTTTTTTATCACTGGTTTTTTTTTATATGCTAATGGGGTTGTTGAGAAACTGCAAATTTGGTCTAGGCAAGGCATTAATGTTCATTTTTGCCTGCAGAGAATTGCTAAGGGGGCCTCTTTATTATGTTCTGATATTGATCTTTTGTGCTCTTGTGTTCTGGCGTGAGTCTCCAATTGGTGTGGTCTCGTTGGGAATGATGTGTGGAGGGGATGGTAATATAGTAAATAGACTTTCTTCTACATTCTTATCTAAGTGGTGGTTTTCTGCTTTGTTTTCTCAGCATTGAACTTGATGATTTTGCAGGTGTAGCTGATATCATCGGTAGAAAATATGGGTCCATAAAGATTCCTTACAATCAAAACAAGAGTTGGATCGGTAGCATATCTATGCTTGTGTTTGGATTCTTGGTTTCAATTGGGTGTGTAACAATCTTATCCAACTTTTCCTTTCACTCTTTAGGAAATCGACTTAAAGATCAACTTCAGTCGTGTTTCTACTTTAGGGCTGGAAATATTAATCAAAAATACTTTTAAAAATGGGAAAAAGACATTTTTCATGGTAGATATTGTCACTGATGCTTTTGATATTATTATTGCATGTAGGATACTCTGCTACTATTCAGTTTTAGGACACGTGCAGTTGGATTGGGCAAGTACTGTACCCAGAGTTGCTTTTATTTCTTTAGTGGCAACAATTGTGGAGTCCCTTCCCATTACTCAGATAGTAGATGACAACATCTCTGTTCCACTAGTTACGATGGCAGTGGCATTTTTCACTTTTCACTAACTCCTGAAGCCTACGGCTTAGATCCCCAGAAAAGTCATACGTATATTCTCTATTCAAATTTTTCCTGCTATACGTATCCTCTAGTTTCTTTCTTGTAGAGGAATTGTTTTAAAAAATTACTAAAAATCATTGTTGAGAATAGCTATAACTATTCTGTTGTGTTGATGTAAAAAGATAAGCGATTAATCACAATGGACACCAAGTCTCTTTGAAAATTACACCCAAATCTATGGATGGTAATAAGCGGGTTAATCAAGTGGTGTAGCATAATATACGATAGCAGGTTTTTAATGTCAGAGTAATGACTATGCAGTGGCAATTTTGCATGTCTCGTCCCAATTGGAGTCCAATTTCCCTCTAAAGATGAGTCACGGAACACACCCCAAAGCGTAGCTTAGATCCTTAGAATAAATTAGGTGAACTTTGCATAGTTTATTTTCATTTCACTTCAGCAATGAAGCTAATACACCAACACTGGTTGGATGTTGAATTTGTCCTTTAATGAAAACGTCACATCTTTACCTAACTAACTACCATTCTGAACCCAGCAATTAGTCAAAAATATGCATGTCTGGCCAAAGGAAAAGGGTCCTTATTAAGTGTTTTTGGTATCACGTGTAATTAAGCACAAACAACTTTTAGTTTGTTTGGCAGAATTGAATGGTCAAGTCCACTTGGTGTGCAATACAATTGCACAATTATTATTGATGGTAAATGGAATGATTGATGAATACAGCCTTGGTTCATCTGCAATCTGAACCACACGTCAGGAAATAATTGATAATTGATGAGTTACAAGTGCAACAGCGTCTTCATGGCATGTGGTCTCACTATCTAGATTCTAGACTTCAGCACAACAAACAAATAGTGATTGAATTTATGCAGATGTACTTTTACAGCAGAGCTTACCAAATGCACTCTAATTTGCTTGTATTCAGTACCTAAAACTACATAGAATTGCCAGATTACACCTATATTATTTACAGATTGCCAAGGGCCATAAATTCCACGGGCTGAAGAAACAATAAATTGAGCAATTCAATGATTCACACAGTATGACAACCAAAATGATATAATCTTTCAACTCATAATATTAATATAAAATTTAAAAAAAGAAAAACGAATCTTTTCTTACAAAGTATTGGCTCCAACCTTTGACATAGCTACAATTAGAACTTCCACATTTTATCATCCCTTCGAAGCATGAAAGAGGATGGAAGAACTCATCACAAAATTAAGTTGTGTTGAGGAATTATAGCTAGAACCAGCTTCCAAAATCTTCAATTTTGTTTTCTCTTAATGAATAATTGATTGTTGGGCAGTCTACTGTTTTACCCCTTCTTGCTGAACAATCAGGATATCTAAAAGAATATGTCTCAAAACCAGAATAAATTCACCGGTTTTGAAGTCCTTCAATTGCCTTCTTCCACTGCCATGCTCTTTGCTTAGCATCTTCAAACGACATTACCTTTTTAGGCTGCATCAACATTATTTATAAAGAAAAGTGTGAAATTTGGAACACAAAATGTACTTGAATCAAGACTTGAAATTTATGTATGAAGGAGTTGGGGTGTGTGTGTGTATTGCAAGTTAGAGAAAATCACTTACAAAAATATGGCATGAAAAGAATTCAAATCAAAGCCCTTTCAGGTCTTGCTATTTGCTTGGGTGTTACATACTTAAAATATTTCAAGCATTAGCATGGCCACCTAGGAATCCAACTTTGGACTCTCACATGTACTACTTTCTATATTTATAAATCGCACAAATTGTACAAGAACTAGTCAAGAAAGCTTACTGTGCAAATCTTGAAATTTGATGCAGTAGTCACTTGGATGCTTAGATCATTTGGATTATCAGACCATATTATATTTCCCTTCACAATTAGCTTTGATGGGTCCACATAGATCAACTTTGGTTTGTTGGTGAGGATGAGCTGCACCTTCTTGCTTGTTAGTTTTTGTAATTTCTTCACCATAGAGATCATAAGAACAGATTCCCCAGGATCCAAAAACTGTTGCCTGTAATATGAGCATAAATTGACAGTTTGAAAAGCCAGGTAATCTTGAAATTCAGGCACTGTACGCAAGAGCTTTTCTTTATTTTATTTTTCTAAACGTTAAGTTTCTGCTTGAAAGGGAATAGATTTGTATCTCTCTGAGAATGCAATTTTTTTAATTAAACACTACCAGCGAAAGGACATTGGAGAACATATAACCAAACATCTATGTAAATTAATATTAATAGATGAAATAGACCTCAACGTAGCTGTTATTTTTTGTCCCCAAGTTGTGATTCCAAAAAGATAAATAAATGTACAGTGTTCTTTGCGTGAAAAGCTGTAAAGTATGAAAATAAAATAAAACAAAATATAGCATTCACCATGTGGTAAAAATATTAAAACGTTGAGGATATAGCTTCAAAATATTCTTTTGGCCATATTTGAACGTTTTATTTAATTTGAAAATTATACTAACATTTGAGCCTCTTTTAAGGTGACATGATTTATAAATAGTTAAGAATCTTCATAAAACCATTAATATTAAAGTGAACACATCATATCAATTCCCCTTCACTAGACTATGATTAAAAGAAAAAACGCTTCAACAAGAAAAGGTTTCAACATACCATTTTGAATCAAAGGAATCAATTGAAGCTAGCCTAGTTATGTGACTAGACCCATCAGAAGATGTAGCACCATCAGGTTGTCTAACTGAAGCCGAGGGACAATCCCCAATGTGAGAAGGACTCCATGACGAATCATGAACATCATCAGCTGCAGGTGACTGAGTCTGCAAGTTAAAGTTATGTCAGTGTCAGAAACTTCATGTTCATCAACAGGTAGAGGAGGACAAGAAATGAAGGTTCCTTTTCTTATTCTCGATAAATAACATTTCAGAGAGCAAAGCAATGGTAATCACACCCCAGGTTCCGGAGCAAGTTTTGGAGGAATTTGTGCCCTCAAGTTCTTCCAGTCAACCCCCTTGAAAAATGGGTGTGCTTTCAAAATAGCATAACCATCAGGTCCAGCACCTGGTCTTCTGCTGGGTTCCAAATCCTGCATCATAATAACATTGATTTCAAATTAAAACTCCATAATTAAAACCCAATGGCATGCAACTTAAAGCATGCTAAAAAAGTTGTCATATTATCATACACATATATATATATATATATATACATATATATATATATATATACCATTACATGATAATCTTTAGTATTACAATTAACGTACTGTTTTTTCATGTTTTACGCACTTATAAAATAACATGACGTCTTTTCAATATTCATTCATGTATAATATTCTTCTGGAAAAAATAATCGTGGGTCTGTGTAATATATTTACGTAATAGCCCTCATAAAAACCTAAAAGGTGCTTGACTTGCTAAAACCTGAGTGACTAAACAGCATTACAATACTGCTTTCATGTGGCCTTTAAAATAAGTTGGACTTGTTGGACGGAACAAAACAAAATGACATAACGTAATGGTGACAATTTTTTGTCCTTCAATAATGATCCAAAAATAGAAAATACCCATCAATTTGGCCAAAATCCCACAACTGTCAACTGAGAACAGCCAGGAAGCCCAATTGGGCTTTTAACCGAGCACAAATTTCCACTCCATCCTTTGAAATTGTTTAGCATAAACCACGTCCATAAAATAGACAAAACAAAAAGTAGTGTTGAGGCTCAGTTTCTTAACTTCTGCTTGTGTTGTCCACTTATCCTTCAAATATCCATCAAAAGCACCCATTATGTGTTATCTTATAGTCTACAACTACACCTTCTTGCTTCTGGTTATTATTATACTATTTATTAAAAAGGGCACACCATGCACCAATTTGACTCATCATCCCACCCCCTCAGAGGCAGCATAGCCTTTCTTAAAGGCTATATATTTGCAAGGTATCAGAAGTACCTTGGAATAAATGAATGTGAATAAAACTATTAAAATGTTCTAAACCTGACAACCAATAAAAACCAATGGGTACTGGTTAGAAGAATGAAATTGACCATTGCAACTACCGAATTAACAAAAAATACATGCAAAATTCACCCCATCTCAAAACATTGTCCTTCAAGAAGGCCAGAAATGAAACATCTTAATATGTATATATTGAGTTGGTATCTAATTGACAAAAATAGAAAAGAGAATTTTTTTAAGCAATTAGAAACGTATAAAAATTATGTGATGCTAAGATTTCTATGTGCACAGTTAAAAGACTAACCAACAGACGGTCAATGAGCTCTCTTGCTTCATCAGAAAAGTAATCTGGAAATCTAAGTTCCCTTGCTACAATTCTTTGAAAAATAAGCCATTCACTTGCGTCTTTAAAAGGGGAAGTTCCAGAAAGCATTTGGTATAATGTGCAGCCAAGTGCCCATAGGTCATTGCTGTTGTGATATATTGAGGGAAGAAAAACAAAAAATAAAAGTTATTATATGGGAACCTGGTATGAAACATAAAGCAAAATAAAGAAACTCAGTGCATGAACAAACGTAAAATGTGAGTTGTAAAAAATTAATTCTTGATTTTCAGAAAAAAAGACAAAAAAAAAGTAAAAAATTGAAGTGAAAAATGTACATGCATGAAAAACTGGCACAACCAATAATATTTTCTAGGATAAAAGTAAATGACTATATTCAAAAGTAACTCCTATCAACATAGAATTCATCTGCATTACTTGACAATTTAATGCCTACCCAAAAGTTGCTGGAGAGGAATTAAGAACCTCTGGAGGAACATAAGCAGCTGTTCCCACAAAAGTGCAGGCTTTGTCATCTAGAAATTTAAAAAATATAAATAAATATAAATACAATATAAGAGAAACTTATAAAAAGCAGCATCCACATTGCGCCTATTTTACCAGACGCTGCATTTGGAAGGACAGTGATTTGACTATCCTGCATAGGCTTCACACTCCCAAAATCTGCTATTTTAATGTGTCCGTCAGCTGTGAGTAACAAGTTCTCTGGCTGCAGTTGAAGAAATTCAATATTCAAATAGCCAAATACAGCAATGATGCAGTATAATCATGATACAGAACTACCTTAATATCACGATGTATGACTCCCAAACTATGTATGTATTGAAGAGCATCAACAACTTCAGCTGCATAGAACCGTGCCTCATCCTCAGTTAGACGACCTTTCTGCACAAAGAAATAAGAAAGGTTGCTAGTAGATATCATGTAGTAACAAGCATGCACAAAAATACTAGCAGACAAATTAACAACGTCCATATCCAAAATAGTACCGAGTACAAATACTTTAGTAAGCCACTGACACAGCTGATGAACAATGATAAAGAAAATATGGGCGTACATGGGTAATTTTGTTTGGAGGTAAGAGGGGGCATTGGGTAATACTAGTAGAGCATGGACAAATGCTATTTTAGTACTGCCATCGTTTTGGGAATCATTGTTCTAGTAAGTAGTGTGGATCCGTACTTTGAAACCAGATGTTCTAATGTGATTTATTGATAATACAATCTATCCCATTTAAACCTCTTAGTGATATAAGTGCTTGTATGAATAGCCTATTTTGGAATAAGAAAATCTTATAATAAAAAATGCAGCAACTAAAGCTCTTGGCTGAAAAGCATTTTTTTCATGTTAAGATATTGTGCTAGAGATAATATCTAAAGAAAATATAAGTCCTTCTCTTCTTTATTTCCTTAGTTTCATTAGTTTCCTTGCTTTACTAATTACAACTTCTAAACTTTGGGAATTGATTCAACCCTTATGTTTACAAGTGTATCAATCATTTACTAATATACACGACGGACTTATTTTTACCATCTCAAATTGGTAGCAAAGCTCTTTGGTAAGCCATTCCTCAGTTTCCAGTTAGGGATTTGGTCACTTGGTGTGCAATGCCTCAAAGCCTTATATTCCTTTTCAGTTTCCTTTTTTTGTGTGTTGTCACAAAAACTTCAAGCCATCCATGTTTAACTCGTGGTCTTTATTTGCTATCTAGGTGTTGTGATTGGCATTACATTTTTGGTTTCCCTTTTTGTGTTCATAGTTTCTCACTTGCTCATCTTGGTAGAGAGTCTTACAACTTTGACCAAGTGAAGAGGTTGTAGTTGTAGGGGTAGTGGCTATGGCAGAAGACATTCTAAAGGAATTTATCATTTTTCTCCCAGAGAACATAAGTGTCTTCAAATCAAGGTATCCCAACTGGATTCCTCTTTAGCAACTATTACTCACGCAGTAATCCTACTATATACCTATCTCACCTTGCATTTGTAGAGATAATGAATTTTTATTTTGGTACTTCTAATCATGTTAGTAATCTCTCTTATTTCTAACCTCTCACCTGAATCAACTCACCACATCACCCTCATTGATTGTTTTGGAGGAAAGATAGCTGGTATTGGTTAAGCTTTGTCTTTTCAAAAGTTATCTCTAATTCCTTCTTAGTTGTACTAAGTTACCCCTTCAATTTGATTTCAATCAATCAACTAACTGTTCTCTCGATTGTTCTGTAACATTAAAACTAGACGTTTTCTTCATACAAGATTGGAACATGAGACAGATGGTTGGAGAAATATCTAAAATATGGAGTCTCTATAACCTCCTTCATCCACTGTGTTTTGTAGATAATATAGGTCATCCAAGTTTGAATAAGTTAAAGTAAGTGGTCCATCTTTCACATTCAAAGTCCTTGGAGCGAGTCATGTCAGCTTGGTAAAAATATTAGGACAATCTTTTAAACTAGTGTCAAGAATCTGATGGTTAGGTCCTAGTCACGTGCCTTCTAATTTTGGATACAAATGTCACATTCATTGATAACCTCAAAAGATGCACATTCTTACTTTTAACGAAAGATCCAACAACAACAAAGCCTTATCCCACAAATTGAGATCCGTTATATGAATTACAAGATGTCATTTCAAGATTTTTGTTCAAAGATAAGGAATCAATTTAGACAAACAATTGGTGTTGTAAATGGTGTGACTGAACATAAACATTGTACAAATCCATCCTACGGCATCACAGATCAATTTAGTAGCTCTCGATCACCATAACAAAAATTGTGTGTGAAGAACATAAGTATTGTCATATTATTGATGACTTAGACACCATTGATAAGTGCATTAACTTTGAGGGTGCTGTTCTCATCACCGGTAATTCAATAACTTGTATGCCATCATCAATCTTAGTGATGAGAATTATTACTCTCTTTTGCTTCCCAAGAACCCCTTTATGTTGTTCCCCATCCAAGTGTTTGGTTTCACTTGTTTTGTTTATGATCCCACTCCTACTTGCTTGCCATGGCAATAAAATAAACATTGATTGGCATTTCAAAGTACAAAATGGGTATCAAGGATTTTCTACATCTATGCATCATTTTATGGTCTTCGTACGGGGTCCTTTGATGCCTTTCTTTGCATCTGTAGCTGTAACAGATTCCTCAATTCCACTTTCACTTATTCCTAACTTTTAGTTGCCCATCTCTACTCAGTTCTCCACAAATCCCAAGATGACCCTTAGTTGCAAAGTTGAGGTCTCCATGCTCTTGAGATTTTTCCTATTGATTGTGATTCAACCCCCACTCTAGCATTTTTCTACCGCTTAGGTCCCACCTAAACCTAGCCCTTCTATTAACATGTCTATTGACATTTGGGTAAACCATCAATTGTTAGTTCTCATCCTATTTAGAAATTTTTTTCATCAATTGTCTCATTCTATTTGCTACATCTCAAAAGACTGTCTAGGAAGCATTGTCCCATTCTAGATGATGATGATAGGAAATGCTGGAAGTGATGGCTACTTTGGAGTTCAATCCCATCCACTCGAAAAATCTACAATTGGTTGTTGGTGGGTCTTTGCTAATAAAATGAACCCAAACAGAGGGGTGGGTCAATTGAAAGATTAAATGGTGACAAATGGATACACTCAAATGTATGGCTTGGCTACCTTGTCTCCAAATGTTAAATGGACGTCTATTCACTTATTCTTGTCTCTAGGTGCAACAAGTCGTTGGCCTTTGGGGACCTTGATGAATAGGTAAATCGATTGAAAACCCATATGGTGACAATAGGATGCACTCAACTTTATGGTTTAAACTACAATGATACCTTGTCACCAAATGCTAAAATGATGCCTATTCACTTATTATTGTCAACGGGTGAAATGAGTCATAGGCCTTTGTGTAGCTCAATATTAAAATTGCATTTTACACAGTAACTTAGAATAGATCTACAGAGAGCAACCACTTGGCTTAGTTGCTCAGGGCTGATGGGCATTTGTTTAGTAGGTTAAAAAAATAGGCGTACAGTCTAAAGCAATCACCTTAAGCTTGGTTAAGGAAGTTTAGCAAAATTATTCAAAAGTTTACATGGTTTGAAATGAGATTGGTCATTGTATATTCTCTAGATGTTCATCTTTGAATAAACTAATTTATTGTGGTATACGTAGATGATATTGTCATTACATGTGATGATCGAGATTAAGGACCTAAAGCAACACTTATTCAAGCACCTTTGAACCAATGATTGAGGCTATTACATTATTTTCTTGGAATTGAAGAGGGTCAATCATAGGCAAGTATTGTGATTTCTTCTAGAAAATATAACCTTAACACTTTAAAAGAGCCAAGGGTGCTTGATTGTAAGTCAAATAATACTCCTATGGATTCAGATGTGAAGCTTCTACCTAATTAAAGGGAAAGGGGGCCGTATCTTGACCCAGACTGCAGAATNGAGCAAAGCAATGGTAATCACACCCCAGGTTCCGGAGCAAGTTTTGGAGGAATTTGTGCCCTCAAGTTCTTCCAGTCAACCCCCTTGAAAAATGGGTGTGCTTTCAAAATAGCATAACCATCAGGTCCAGCACCTGGTCTTCTGCTGGGTTCCAAATCCTGCATCATAATAACATTGATTTCAAATTAAAACTCCATAATTAAAACCCAATGGCATGCAACTTAAAGCATGCTAAAAAAGTTGTCATATTATCATACACATATATATATATATATATATACATATATATATATATATATACCATTACATGATAATCTTTAGTATTACAATTAACGTACTGTTTTTTCATGTTTTACGCACTTATAAAATAACATGACATCTTTTCAATATTCATTCATGTATAATATTCTTCTGGAAAAAATAATCGTGGGTCTGTGTAATATATTTACGTAATAGCCCTCATAAAAACCTAAAAGGTGCTTGACTTGCTAAAACCTGAGTGACTAAACAGCATTACAATACTGCTTTCATGTGGCCTTTAAAATAAGTTGGACTTGTTGGACGGAACAAAACAAAATGACATAACGTAATGGTGACAATTTTTTGTCCTTCAATAATGATCCAAAAATAGAAAATACCCATCAATTTGGCCAAAATCCCACAACTGTCAACTGAGAACAGCCAGGAAGCCCAATTGGGCTTTTAACCGAGCACAAATTTCCACTCCATCCTTTGAAATTGTTTAGCATAAACCACGTCCATAAAATAGACAAAACAAAAAGTAGTGTTGAGGCTCAGTTTCTTAACTTCTGCTTGTGTTGTCCACTTATCCTTCAAATATCCATCAAAAGCACCCATTATGTGTTATCTTATAGTCTACAACTACACCTTCTTGCTTCTGGTTATTATTATACTATTTATTAAAAAGGGCACACCATGCACCAATTTGACTCATCATCCCAACCCCTCAGAGGCAGCATAGCCTTTCTTAAAGGCTATATATTTGCAAGGTATCAGAAGTACCTTGGAATAAATGAATGTGAATAAAACTATTAAAATGTTCTAAACCTGACAACCAATAAAAACCAATGGGTACTGGTTAGAAGAATGAAATTGACCATTGCAACTACCGAATTAACAAAAAATACATGCAAAATTCACCCCATCTCAAAACATTGTCCTTCAAGAAGGCCAGAAATGAAACATCTTAATATGTATATATTGAGTTGGTATCTAATTGACAAAAATAGAAAAGAGAATTTTTTTAAGCAATTAGAAACGTATAAAAATTATGTGATGCTAAGATTTCTATGTGCACAGTTAAAAGACTAACCAACAGACGGTCAATGAGCTCTCTTGCTTCATCAGAAAAGTAATCTGGAAATCTAAGTTCCCTTGCTACAATTCTTTGAAAAATAAGCCATTCACTTGCGTCTTTAAAAGGGGAAGTTCCAGAAAGCATTTGGTATAATGTGCAGCCAAGTGCCCATAGGTCATTGCTGTTGTGATATATTGAGGGAAGAAAAACAAAAAATAAAAGTTATTATATGGGAACCTGGTATGAAACATAAAGCAAAATAAAGAAACTCAGTGCATGAACAAACGTAAAATGTGAGTTGTAAAAAATTAATTCTTGATTTTCAGAAAAAAAGACAAAAAAAAAGTAAAAAATTGAAGTGAAAAATGTACATGCATGAAAAACTGGCACAACCAATAATATTTTCTAGGATAAAAGTAAATGACTATATTCAAAAGTAACTCCTATCAACATAGAATTCATCTGCATTACTTGACAATTTAATGCCTACCCAAAAGTTGCTGGAGAGGAATTAAGAACCTCTGGAGGAACATAAGCAGCTGTTCCCACAAAAGTGCAGGCTTTGTCATCTAGAAATTTAAAAAATATAAATAAATATAAATACAATATAAGAGAAACTTATAAAAAGCAGCATCCACATTGCGCCTATTTTACCAGACGCTGCATTTGGAAGGACAGTGATTTGACTATCCTGCATAGGCTTCACACTCCCAAAATCTGCTATTTTAATGTGTCCGTCAGCTGTGAGTAACAAGTTCTCTGGCTGCAGTTGAAGAAATTCAATATTCAAATAGCCAAATACAGCAATGATGCAGTATAATCATGATACAGAACTACCTTAATATCACGATGTATGACTCCCAAACTATGTATGTATTGAAGAGCATCAACAACTTCAGCTGCATAGAACCGTGCCTCATCCTCAGTTAGACGACCTTTCTGCACAAAGAAATAAGAAAGGTTGCTAGTAGATATCATGTAGTAACAAGCATGCACAAAAATACTAGCAGACAAATTAACAACGTCCATATCCAAAATAGTACCGAGTACAAATACTTTAGTAAGCCACTGACACAGCTGATGAACAATGATAAAGAAAATATGGGCGTACATGGGTAATTTTGTTTGGAGGTAAGAGGGGGCATTGGGTAATACTAGTAGAGCATGGACAAATGCTATTTTAGTACTGCCATCGTTTTGGGAATCATTGTTCTAGTAAGTAGTGTGGATCCGTACTTTGAAACCAGATGTTCTAATGTGATTTATTGATAATACAATCTATCCCATTTAAACCTCTTAGTGATATAAGTGCTTGTATGAATAGCCTATTTTGGAATAAGAAAATCTTATAATAAAAAATGCAGCAACTAAAGCTCTTGGCTGAAAAGCATTTTTTTCATGTTAAGATATTGTGCTAGAGATAATATCTAAAGAAAATATAAGTCCTTCTCTTCTTTATTTCCTTAGTTTCATTAGTTTCCTTGCTTTACTAATTACAACTTCTAAACTTTGGGAATTGATTCAACCCTTATGTTTACAAGTGTATCAATCATTTACTAATATACACGACGGACTTATTTTTACCATCTCAAATTGGTAGCAAAGCTCTTTGGTAAGCCATTCCTCAGTTTCCAGTTAGGGATTTGGTCACTTGGTGTGCAATGCCTCAAAGCCTTATATTCCTTTTCAGTTTCCTTTTTTTGTGTGTTGTCACAAAAACTTCAAGCCATCCATGTTTAACTCGTGGTCTTTATTTGCTATCTAGGTGTTGTGATTGGCATTACATTTTTGGTTTCCCTTTTTGTGTTCATAGTTTCTCACTTGCTCATCTTGGTAGAGAGTCTTACAACTTTGACCAAGTGAAGAGGTTGTAGTTGTAGGGGTAGTGGCTATGGCAGAAGACATTCTAAAGGAATTTATCATTTTTCTCCCAGAGAACATAAGTGTCTTCAAATCAAGGTATCCCAACTGGATTCCTCTTTAGCAACTATTACTCACGCAGTAATCCTACTATATACCTATCTCACCTTGCATTTGTAGAGATAATGAATTTTTATTTTGGTACTTCTAATCATGTTAGTAATCTCTCTTATTTCTAACCTCTCACCTGAATCAACTCACCACATCACCCTCATTGATTGTTTTGGAGGAAAGATAGCTGGTATTGGTTAAGCTTTGTCTTTTCAAAAGTTATCTCTAATTCCTTCTTAGTTGTACTAAGTTACCCCTTCAATTTGATTTCAATCAATCAACTAACTGTTCTCTCGATTGTTCTGTAACATTAAAACTAGACGTTTTCTTCATACAAGATTGGAACATGAGACAGATGGTTGGAGAAATATCTAAAATATGGAGTCTCTATAACCTCCTTCATCCACTGTGTTTTGTAGATAATATAGGTCATCCAAGTTTGAATAAGTTAAAGTAAGTGGTCCATCTTTCACATTCAAAGTCCTTGGAGCGAGTCATGTCAGCTTGGTAAAAATATTAGGACAATCTTTTAAACTAGTGTCAAGAATCTGATGGTTAGGTCCTAGTCACGTGCCTTCTAATTTTGGATACAAATGTCACATTCATTGATAACCTCAAAAGATGCACATTCTTACTTTTAACGAAAGATCCAACAACAACAAAGCCTTATCCCACAAATTGAGATCCGTTATATGAATTACAAGATGTCATTTCAAGATTTTTGTTCAAAGATAAGGAATCAATTTAGACAAACAATTGGTGTTGTAAATGGTGTGACTGAACATAAACATTGTACAAATCCATCCTACGGCATCACAGATCAATTTAGTAGCTCTCGATCACCATAACAAAAATTGTGTGTGAAGAACATAAGTATTGTCATATTATTGATGACTTAGACACCATTGATAAGTGCATTAACTTTGAGGGTGCTGTTCTCATCACCGGTAATTCAATAACTTGTATGCCATCAT